TCAGTGGCTTTCATTAATTTGCAGCTCCTTCTGCAAAATAAAAGAGAGAGGACCTCAATTCAGTCATTTCAGCGGCTTTCATTAATTTCAATTGCAAAATTTACCCCTTTTTTGTTGACATGATTACTTGTTTTAGAAATAAGAAAAGCTGACAAGAATGAATAAAATTTAACGGGGTCGCGTTTATACAAACGTTCATATATGTGTTTATCTTTGCCGTTATTTGGTCAAAAGCTCTTTGCGAAGATTTTCGTTATAACTCCTAACAGCACAATTCGATTAAAATAAAAAGATTTAATGGATTCTTCTTGTTCTGAACTTGAGGCGAGGGAATATACCAGTTGACTTTACTCAGAATTATACAGTATATAACACATGCAACCTGCTATATAATTTAATTGAAAGTCATTCATATTACCCCGAATTTTCGTCAGCTTCCTCTAATCTCATTTATTGACATAAGAATTTACATTTAATGTTTGGTGTCTCATCATGCTTTAATGACCAATCATTGATATAAAATTAATTAAAGGCGGCCCGGAGAAGTTAGCAATCGGCTGAAAAAATTATCCTAGCATGGACTCGAATACCTTTCCAACGATACAAAATAGCATTCATGAACTATATGCGCTCGGGTATTCGAACATAAATTTATCTGGAATTTTTTTTTTGCAGAGCTTCTGAAAGCATTTGTTTTGTTCGTTTTCAATAATGCATACCCTGTATGCTCCGGTAGGCTGTAAAAACCTCGCAATGGCCAAGAATTTTTCATCCGTCAGGAAGCTCATGTCCATCACGGGGGCCATCATAATAGCTGCTTGAACTTTCTTACGACATGCTTCGGGATGATAGTGACAGTAGATGAAGAATGATTGGGTGCCCAAGGAGTAGCCAGAATACACTAGTTTAGCTTTTCCAGAGTGGTACAAAACAGCGTTGATCAATGCTGGCAGATCGTGTTTTCCGTGTTCATCCGGCCTTGTAACGAATGATTTTTACTTCGCATTAGTTTTTTTTTTCATGCAAAAATCTATTTCAGCAATCGGACTATGCATGATCCAGTTCTAAACTTGATTGTACAATGATGATATTTTAAAACAGGCTTTCACGTGTCAGACACGTATGAAAAATCATGGACAACTAAATTATGAATGGAAATAAATGTTTGGCCATTTAATTCAAAAATACGTTTTTATACAATAGAAATGCTAATCTCGATAATGCTTGGAATGTTAATTTTTTATTGATGGATCTCACATGAAACTGTAATTTCCTATTGAGAATTTAAATGTTGTAGAGTTTTGTTAATATAAACAGTATAACAAGCGTGAGAAAAATTCTCTACATCCTACATGTGACTGAGTTAAAAAAAAAACAAAGCGATCTTTCGGTGATTATTTCGAATTATAATAAAGTGCTCAAAATCTGTCACACCGTAAGCAGAATGAGGTCCAAGGCCTGTCCATATCAAGGAACTGCTCATGAGTCCATGCAATATCAAAACTGGAAATTTTCCCTTGTGGATATTGACTCCTGATTTACGTTGTATCCGGGTCAGCCTTGAAATGTAACCATCGTCGGTTGTTGCATCGAAAGACTGCGTTCGAAAGCCGAAATCATTGGAAACCGTTTCCTGTGATTGAAAGCAGGAAGAACATTTTGAGGAATTCAACTCGATTTATGATTTATGACACTCACAAAGAAGCTTACAAGTTGCGTCTATTTTGCGATGCAGTTGTTTTCAATGCTCAAGCTTTACTTGAGCACTAAATCAGAAGAGCATCGGATACAAATTGCCTGAAAGTACTGTACTCAGTTTATCTACTGTGGATTTTTTCAATATTGCAGTTCTCAATTTTGCGGTAAAAGACAAGATACTTAGTCTACTGAGGCAAGAACTTCTTTTGAAATGGAATTGATTAATCGAATTTCGCCTTAAAGCGACGTAAATTATTTTAATACAACAAACAACTTCAAAATTTGCACATATTTGGTCAAATAAGCAAAGAAACAACGAAGAAAGTGAGAGTAGTTTCTGAGCAATCAAATAAGTATTTTTAAATTAACTTTGTTTCGGGATTGAAATTCAACTTCAAGTGACCCAATCTTCCTATTTTCTTCATATCACGATGAGAAGACCAATTTTCAGCATGAGTCTTGAATGGTTTTCTGGTAAATTAGGCATTATATTAATAATGGCTCTTTTATTGCTTGGTATGCAGTATTTTGTAGCACTTACATCTCCTGTGAATTCATTAAACCTGCATATGAGTTTTTCAGTTGAACGAAATTTCGTTGAAAATTTTTTTTTTCAATTTTCTGCATTCAACCTGAGGTAGCAAAGCTTGAGACAGTGGTCAGAAATCATAATTGCGCAAATTACATAAACCGGGCAAGACTGAACCAAGTACAAAAGCAAAATAGTGACAAAATAACTCATGAACGTTTTTCTGAAATGCTCACGTCATGGGTTAAAGAAGAAGGCGAATCACTTACAGTTGGAAAAGAGATCCTTTGACNCGTCATGGGTTAAAGAAGAAGGCGAATCACTTACAGTTGGAAAAGAGATCCTTTGACAGCCACAAATTTTGACTGAAAAACCAGCACACAAAATCATCACAACGGAGAGGGTCCAGGAAGAGGTCATCTTTTTTTCTTTTTTGAAAATAAACTATTCGAAAAAAGTAGGTTGAACTATTTGTCACCGGAATTCCGACGAAATAACAAGTCTTAGAGATCACTGGCACTGAATTCAGTTCCACTCATTGGTGCACTTGCTTGAAACCTTTTTGAATTACCGGACGAAACGATTTGGAAGGAAATGAAGTCCCAAAATTTGAGCAGTTCATCGTTGTTCCCTTTCCATTCACGTATATAATGAAGCACTCTCTTGAACATGATTTTATTTACAGCCATTACAAGCACGAAGGAGTTGGAGTTCGTGTGAGTAACAGTCCACCAAAGATAAGCAAAAAATGAATTACCTTATTGTTGGACTGATCAAAGTTTAGGATAAGTGATATTCCTTGACCAAATGCGTACATTTTTCGAGTAAAGAGAAGCAAAAGTTTCTTTGAGATATTTGATCAAGCCAAACAAGCCCGATTTTTCCTAAAATCGAGAAGATTCTGAGTTCTGAATTCCAGAGAACTGGACAAGATGAGAATATATACTGCTAAATTTGTTCATATCTTCACGATTACGCCAAAAATTCCGAATGTTGTTGCTCAATGGAAACTGCGGAACATAAATAAACGAAGCCAGGTATTTGTTTGAATAGGACGGGTGTGAAGTAAACGGGCAATATAAAAGTACAGTACCAGCATTTGCACAAAAAGTGTCCACGCAGCATCAATTTAAAGGTTTACAGGTATACATTAGAACCAATTAACCCAGCAGGGAATCACATGAGTCATGAGGCTGATGGCACCCAGCAAGCTGGCATCAGGATTTGGGAGTGGGGCGACATCTCATTGCCTAATTTTTCTGTTGCCCTTCTCATTCCCAGCTGCACAATTTTGGGAATGTGTGCACCCTCTTATTGAAGGCAGCATGAAGTTTGCTGAATAAATTACCGGTGGTTCACCCTGTTCATCCCTGATAATGGCTGTGGAGAACAACAGCTTATAGTGGAAGGAGTTACTTGAAAACTTATTTTTGAAAATGTTCATGCAAATGGTATTTGTGACCATGCTATGGCAAATAGGACCATGAAACTGCAAACAATTTGAAAGAAGATTGAAGAAGCTTCCATTTGTTTTTTCATAGCCAACACAGCTTGATTTGCAACAGAGCTATTTCAATTCAACAATTGGTTCACTTTTTTGGCTCCCCCCCTGTAAGTCTGGGCATGAGTGGACAAGCAACAGGCCAAAGCACCATGTAACATTGCCCTACTTACACAAGAAAAGCAAACATTCAACCCCTCCAAGGCATAGAATCTGGAACCTTTCACTGCAATTGATGGCATTTATGAATTCAACTTTTGTGTGGAGAAATTAATGCCATCTGCTTTTAGAGCAACCATTCATGATCATAAAAAGGGTACCATATGTTGGAAAGAAGTTAGTAACATACTGTATTAAAATACCATAGGATTACATTGGCGCCAGGAAAATGGCAATGCTTCGAGAGGGTCAGGAATCCAGTGGGATTGCACTTGACCTTGAGCTCACACGAGATTTGGGATTCTTGGGGAAATCCTTCTGAAGGATAATGCTCAGGGACAAAACTGCAATTGAAAGAAAAATGTTTAAGTAGTGAAATGTTTCTGCATTCTAAGAATCAGTTGCTTCTGTGTCGTCTCATGCAAAAGACTGCCTGTTGAACTGCTGTTTGAATCCAAAACCTACTAAAATCTTTGAAATATATCAACCTTACACTAGGGTGTTAAGCACCCTGGCCACAGCCCAGCTGATTGCGTCTAAACCAATCATTTCATACCTCAAAGCAAAATAGTCAAAATTTCCATAAATTAAACTTACTGTTTCCAACACCATATGGACCCAAGCCCAGAATCATGGTTGTTAGTAGCAATCAGAAATTCAATTGCTCAATTGCAATTGCAGTCTGCCAAGCAAATTGTTCCCCAATTGAAATCACAATTGCGATGCTACAATGTTTTGATTCCCCAATCGGTATTATTGCAATGGATTTCTTTCTATTACATGCAGTGGTGCTTGTCCAGCATATGCATTGGCTTATGAACAACCCACCGCCTAACAAACCCCAAGAAGAAAAAAATGACTCACGCAGGGAGCAATGACCTGCCGGGCAAATTCACTTGAAGCATACAAGAACTACGTTGTCCAAATTAGTGAAGTTTCAAATTAGTGTGTAGAACAGTACTGCAGTACTTCCTGTGTCACGTTCTTCCAAGGGATGATTCACTGGAAATATATCACTGCATCTGTGATTTTTACTGAACCCTGGTCATAATACACTTCCCATGATCATGATTGTTCGAGAAACTTTGACAAATTTCGTGACCCTTTGCCTCAATAATGGAAAAAAAGGTGTGAAGTACTGACATGACAAAGGACAACATGCATTTTATTTTTTCTGAATTCTTTTTCCAAATGCATATACTCATCAGATGCCCGGAAATATTCCCTTATTTCTTCGATGCTCCAAAAATTTCTGTCAGAAAATCCAAGATTCGTTGGTACACTAACATTGTAGCGTTGTCAGAAAAAATAAAATCCGAATGCCTGAATCCAGGAACAACATGAAGATTCTTGGCTTTAGGCAGCGAAAACCAGATCTTCGCACTATCCTGGAAAAAGAGTACTGTACATTACAATGGTTTTTTCACTTCTAAAACTGAGAATAGTTTTAAATATTTTCACCACGCATTTATCAATTTGAAAATTGCTCAGCATTAGTGTACTGTATAGGAATCCTTACTAGGAGAGTCGCGACTTTATCTTCAGTTCCAGCCAGCAGGTAAACGGGAACATTCGTCCTTCCAATGTCGTACGAAGTTGGCCAGAACCATCCGTAACGCTGATCAGAAATAGAAGCAATATTTGTTTTGTCATTCCCCTATTTGAATGATTCGTCAGTAGTAATGTACAGTATAACATTTTTATTTTACCATAAGATTGTTCCACGGTCCATAGTCAAGAGGTTGGAACTTCTTGGTCCTCGTCAACTGAGCGTAAAAATCGAACGTAAGCAACGACGTCGGAAAGGCATTACCCGGCCAGACCCTGTCAATTACTTCCTGGGGATAAAAACAAATTTACTCATAGTATACTTAATGACATTTTGGAAAGGGCCTCGTCATTCGAGAATAAGTAGCCAATTAACTGACCGTTCGCACTGTTGGTCGAATATCGTGTACAGCAAGTGTCGCTGGTGTTGGGGGATGCTCACTGTAAACTACAAACTTCTCATTCACTGCATTAGGAAGCAGAGAAGAAACTACTTCAGGCGTGGGGAACTTGAAAACTCCTCTCCTTGTCAGCTCCTTCTGCAAAGTAACAGAGAGAGAGAGAGAAACGCAGTGTATGAATGTCAGTGACTTTCCTTGTCAAGGTTTCCCAATCAACAGATGATTTCAATCGAAAAATTTACTTTTAGTTGCCACTGAATTCTTTTTTTTTGTGGATAGAATTTGCTCCCAGATGAAGATATCTGACAAAAAATAAAAGTTCACGTGTTTAAACGTCCTTATTATGTGCTTGATTGCGTCATCACTCTTTTGCTACTGCATTATAACTCATACTAAACCCACCTAAAAAAATCAATGTATTTGGGGGGGGGGGGTGCAGCTGTTCAAAGTAGAGGAAATGTGGTATATGTCCTGAACTAGAGGTGAGAGAATAAATAAGTTGACATTACTACAGTATAACACAAGTACAACCTGCTGAACTTCTACTGTATTTTGAAAGTCATTTGCCCAGACTTCTTGTCAGCTTCCTTTTATCTAATTTACGGACATGCATAGCAGACCACATTTAATGTTTTGAAACTAACTATCATTGCTTAATCCAGGCCAGGTACTTGAAAAGGTTCAAAGAAGTGAGCAAAGTTGACTGAAAAAATTATCCCGGCATGGATTCGCATTACCTTTCCAGAGAAAAAATATGCATTCATCAGCAATGCGCCTTTCATGGGTACATTGGATCCCAGACAAAGGAATTGAATCGTGCTGCCATCAGAATGCAAGTTTTGAATAAGAACTCAAACTCTTTTCAGAGGAGTTCATTCTCATTGCCCAGTTTTACTGTTCTACACACTAATTTGAAACTTCACTAATTTGGACAACGTAGTTCTTGTATGCTTCAAGTGAATTTTGGGGGAGTTTGGTTGGGTGGGGAGGGGGTTTGAATGCAGGAGTTTTGGTTGTACCTTGTGAATGCTGAAAAGTGGCAAATAAAGTTTTCTGTTCATTCATTCATGGTTAGCTCAGAATATTGAATGAGGTAATTTAAAGTTAAAAGGCCCTCAGGATTGGCCAATAAATGAAAATCAAAGAAGTTATGACCACTTCTTGTCCTTGAGTGAGGCTCCATGAGTCTTGCAAAAACGGGATTTTTGCAAGGCTCACTAGCCTTGGAAATATAACAAGTTCTGGGGTATGGTTTTGGCCGGATCCTGGAGCTGCATCGCTTCGGGCCGCAACAGGCCATCAGCAGGGTAGTTGAACATCAATTCATTTATGCAACTTTTTTATTTTAAACATTTCCTTTTTTTCGTCGTGAATACTGTACATACCCTGTATGGTCCGGAAGGCAGCAAAAGCCCCGCACCGGCCAGAAAGTTTGAATCCGCCAAAAAGGTCATGTCTAACACGGGGCCCAGCATAATGGCTGCTTGAACATTCCGAACACACGCATCCGGATGATAGTGACAGTAGATGAAAAACGTGTGGGTGCCCATGGAGAAGCCAGAATACACTAGTTTATCTTTTCCGGAGGCCCTCAAAACAAGGTTGATCAATGCTGGCAGATCGAGTCTTCCGTGTTCATCCGGCCTAAACGAAGGATTTTATTTAAAAATATTTTTTAAATCAATTTCAGACAAAAATGTATTTCAGTAATTCGTCCGATGATCAGGTAACCTTTGATATATTGCCCCCCAAATGAGTGCCACAAATTTTCTTGTGAAAAATATCCCTCCATTGTGTTTCTAATTAAGGAAATCAGGATTCAGCAGTGCCAACTCACTCAATGCCACAAAAAATTTCCTGCCCTGAATTAAAAATAGTCAAAATCAGATAAACTAAGGCATTTTTATAGGGATATCATTAGGTTTTTACTGAGATTATGCTCAGGATAATTTTGAACATTTTATTTCTGCATTCACATGTATTTGTGTGGTTTTATTCTAGTGTACTCTGCATCAAAAACATCTCAATAACTTGGATGGTTTCATTAAAAAATCTCAAATCACTATATATACCTGATCTTGGACTTGTCTGATTTCATTGAACGATTGATACAAAACTGCAAAAAGTTCCACACTTCAGCATATTAAACCAAAATGTGCCAAAATAAAATACTGTAATGTAATTCTAAAATTAATCGTTCGATGACAATATTTTAAAACAAATGTTTCACACATTGATCATGCATGAAATATCGTGGACAACTGAGTATAAATGGAAATACGTTTGCGACTATTGCATTTAACTGTACGTTTCAATAAAATATAAATGCTAATCACGATATTTTGCTTGGAATGTTACAAACATGTTTTACTGGACTTCACATGAAACTTGCATTGCTGATTGAGCATTTAAATGTCGTCGATTGTTGAGAGAAATAGTACTATGTGTGAGAAATTTTGCGTACATTCTACAAGCGACTTAGTTCACCCAAGGAATTGTAGTACGTGAAATGTCGGGGAAAGCATTAGGAAAAAGTAATGGATGTATAATGCAGCCTTTTTCATCCAATTTAATTATGTTATTTTATAACGAGTGTCTCTCAATTATCCGAAGGGTGTTTTTCTTCTTGAAAATTTAGTGTGTTAACGTCCGTTGGTTACCCACGTGAAATCCCAAAAAGACTTTTCGCTGGGGTTTAAAAATTTGTGCCGAGAGGCTTCTGGAGAACCCCGAAAGTTCCCCAGCCAAACATCATATCCTTCTTGAGCCAACGTGAACGCTGTAAAGAAAAAAAAAACGAACTTTCGGTTATCATTTCGAAAATTAACGATGAAGTGCTCAAAATGCACGAAACCGTAAGCGGAAATAGGGGGTTGATTCCCAAGGCCTGTCCATAACAAGGAACTGCCCACGAGTCCGTGTAAAATCAAAATTGGAAATTTTTCCTTTTGGGTGTCGACTCCGGATGTGCGTTGCACCCGGGTCAGCCTTGAAATGTAACCATCGTCGGTTATTGCATCGAAAGACTGCGTTCGAAAGCCGAACTCTTTGGAAACCGTTTCCTGTGATAGAAAGCAGGAAGAACATTTTGAGGAATTCAACTTGATTTATGATTCATGACACCCGCAAAGAAGCTTAGAAGTTTTTGTCTTTATTTTGCAATGCTCAAGGTTTCAATGCTCAAGGTTTACTTGAGCACTAAATAAGAAGAACATGGGATATAAATCATTTGAAAATACATTGCATACTATTCACTAAGAGTTTTCTTCAATTTTCAGGTCCAAATTTTGCGGCAAAATCCAATGTGCTGAGACTATACTAACGCAATAAATACTTGTGGAAAGAAAATGATCAGCCGAAGTCCGCATTTTAAAGACGTGAATTATTTAAAGTATACTGTACAACGAACAACTCCAAAATTTTTAACATTGATCGAATAAGCACCTATACAATTCCACTTTGACCAATTTTAAATGTGTTGGAGGAGGAGGTATAACTGTGACCAAATCTTCCTATTCGCCATCCAATTCGCAGACCAATTTTCAGCAGCAGCACACATCTCGAATGGTTTTCAAGCAAATAGGACATTATACAATATTGATAATAACTATTTTAATTCATGGTATGCAGTATTTTGTAGCACTTACACTTCCTGTGAATTCAGAAAACCTTCACAAGTGTTAGTTGAACATTATTTCGCTGAAATATTTGTTTTCCCTTTCAAATTTCTCCCTTCTCTTGTTTCAACCGGGGAGGTGGCAAAGCTAGAGACAGTGATCACAAATGATCATCGTGAAAATTATATAAACCGTGCAAGACTGCCCCAAGTACGAAAGAAAAACAGGGAAAAAACTCATGAACATTTTTCTGAAATGCTGACGTCATGGGTTAAAGAAGAAGGCGAATCACTTACAGTTGGAAAAGAGATCCTTTGACAGCCACAAATTTTGACTGAAAAACCAGCCCACAGAATGATCACAGCGAAGATAGTCCAGGAAGAGGTCATCTCTCTTTCTTGATAAAAAAAAAACCAATTAAAAAAAAGGTGGTCATCGAAAGTCCGACGAAATATCAAGTCTGTGATCACTGACGGTGAATCGAGTTTCTGTCGTTGTTGCAAATGTGGCCTTTCCATTTTAAATGACTGAGCGAACCGATTTGAAAGAAACAAAAGTTCAAAATTCTGCGCAGTTCCCCGTTGTTTCCTTTTCTTTCGCATATATATATATGTAATGAAGCACGTCTCTTGAACAATACTTTGTTCTCAACCAAGCACGAATGACTTGACTTTCGTGTGAGAAACAGTCCGTGGAAGATAAGCCATAACAGAATTACTTCGTTCGAATGAATAAGGTTCGGGATAAATAACGTACCTTGACAAAATACGTCCGTGGTAAAAAAAAAAAAAAAAACTTGATGGTTTCTGTGAAATATTTGATCAAGCCAAAGAAACCCCGATTGCTTTTTGGACACGCTTCCAATGATAAAAGAGAGTCACCAGAGAAATGAACTAGATACGAATATATGCTGCTAAAATTTTTCATGCCTTCATGATTACCCCAAATACATCGAATTTTGTTGCTCATGGAACCTGCGGGGAAAAAATGAATAACAAACCCAGGTATTTTTTGAATACAACAATAACTTTGAATTACCAAAATGCATATATAAAGTTTTCTCTAGCAGCATTTCCGCAAAAATATTCTACACAGCATTAATTCAGAGGTTACGATAGAACTAAAGAACTAATTATCCCAGCGAGGACATGATAATTAGGAAAGTCCTGAAATTTCCCAGGCATGGGAAATAAGAAAAACGCGGACTGCAAGAGTTGAAGAAATACGTTTAGGTGCCAAATCTAATGAGGATATTACTTTGAATAGTCACAGTTAAGTGTGAAAGACAATCCTGCAGAAAACCAGGCCTCTCCAGACATGCAGATCGTATTTGCTTTTTTTATCGGCTGATATACGAGTATATTTCTTAATTTCTATGCAATCTGATGGGTTCAATTACGGAATTTGCTCCTTCGGTCACAACTCACAAGTTTATCTGTGAAACTTTGGAGAACTATTGCTTTATTGTCTGTGGTCTTCGCCAGTATTGCAGCAAATCAGTTATTTTTGTTCGAGTTGAAGGGCAGAAATCAGCCGGTCGCAACATTAGAAACATCGGTGAGCTAAACCCATACAAATTTGCATACTCTTAAATAAAAAAAATTTTTTTTTAATTTAAACTATGATCAGAGGTTTTCCGTAAGCAAAATATTTTTAATAAGATGCCTCAATATAGGTCGAATATCTTCGTATAAGCTGGTCTATAGTTAAATAGAAGTTGTTCAAAAGATGATGTGAAGAGAATCATCCATCAAAAATTGACTCTCTTTCTAATTTAGGTTATGCTTATTTTCTCCTGCAACTTGAAGCTATGTTTGACACACATAAATAAGCCATGACATGGATGGACAGCATGAAACAAATGCATGAAAGAAAGATTCTTGAAATATTTCTTCTTTAAATAACCTTTGAAAAATCTTGAAGTATTGATCATCAGAATTCTGAGATTCAGAGGACTATATGAAGTCTTCATGGTCGCAGACACTAAATACAATTATATTCCTTGATGAACTCCGGCTGGTCGTTCCATTCAGAATGGTTCGTTGAAACTATTCGGAAGGAAATCAAATACTGTACCAAAATTTTGCGAAGTTCCTAGTTGTTAATTTTCATCTACGTAAAAAAAGCACGTTGCGCTAAAATGATATTTTTTTCACTCGAGCAATGAAAAATGTGTGCTTGCGTCAACAAAAAATCAGTTCGTGTAAGCTGAATCAAAATATACGATTTCAGTCAGAATGAAGAGAGGTTCAAAATTATTTAATTTTTTGTGATTCCTAATGCAAAAACGATGTAATTGAAATATTTTTGGTGAGATATTTGTCCAAGCAAAAGAACGATTATTTTAATTTAGGATACACAGTATGTACAGTATTCTATCTGAGCGCTGAAAAAACCACCTTTGATGAAATTCGCTGCATACACAGTCAACCCCTGATTTATTACCCTTATTTAGGACCAACCCGGTATGGTGCCACAAATTCCTCTGGTAAAAATGTCCCCCGATTGTGTTCTCCAGGGAACCCCCAATTTAGTGCCAACTCACTTAGTGCCACAAAAAATGTCCTGTTCTTGATGAAAAATATGAAAAAAATCTGAGAAATTAAGCCATATTTTCAGAGACATCATTAGTTTATTATTGAGAATAACATACCCTATATATGCTCAGTATAATTTTTTTTTCAATTACACAGTATTTCTCTATTTACATGTGATTGGGTTTTATTTGAATGTCCTCTACAGCAGATCATCTCAATAACTAGAATAGCCTCTTTACAAAAATTAAGAATTACTCCACCTGATCTTGGAATCGTGTGCTTTCATTGAAAGGTTGATACAAAGTTGCACAATATAGTTTCACTCTTTTACTTGATCCAATATATGCAGATATCTAATATATTCTGTAATAAAATGTAAATTAAAATGCAGCAAAAACACTTTATTTGAGCATTATTTTGGTTGGCATTCCCTTTTATAAAACAGACTCAATGGCCAAACCATTCATCAGCAAAAAGCTTGTTTGACATACTGTAGATTTGTAGAATCCCTCGAATGAATTGGTGATGCAATACCCCCAACTTAGTTCCACCCTTGCATAGTGCCGCAAAATGTGTCAGGATGGCACTAATTTTGGGTTAACTGTACTTCAAATCACTAAAGAGGTTCCTTGGCTGAGAAGGTCATATCTCATGTGATGTCCAGCATAGGACCTATCAAAATATATCCTTGAAAAATCTCCAAGCATGCTTTGGATACCTGTGCCACGTTTTTTCTTAATTAAAATTAATAATGTATTTCTAATCATGGACACATCTCAACCTCCTTTAAACTATTGCTGACTAATGGAAATCATTGAAAAAAGTCTGGACTACATTCATATACAGTACTTGGAAAAAATTGGCATGCCAGAAATGTAAAAAATTTGTGAAGGGAAAATGATCGTAGATGTTTTTTCGTATGATGAACTAAAGCGATATTCGTTGGCTTGAAATTCTGAATAAAAAAGAGAGAAAACAATGGAACAACGACGAGAATGTCTATTTCAAATTCGACCGTGTTCGGGAGGCCACCGTGATGGAATGTTTCCAGCTGGCACATTTGAAGGCTGACACCTGCTTCTTATTCCAAAAAACAAAACGTTTGATACTTCTCTATTTTTGTAGGTGTCGCACTACACTTTGCCCGATTCATCCAATGGCCTTAGTGACAGGGAATTTCCGAACCCCAAAATTGAAACTAACCTCGTGTTGGAGAGTCCAATTGTTGGGTTCCATTGATTTCTACTTGATAAGCATATAATAATTGTACTGTATTCGATTCTGCATCATTCAAGTCTAATCTCTGACTCTGAACTATTATTTGTTTGACTTACACTCATCCAGGACTGGAAAAATGAGTATCACTGTACTGTATTGAGTGTATTGTCATACTTTTCCTTATGATTCAAAAGCTCACACAGTGAGATGCTGCGATGTGGATGTAAGTGGTGCATCACGACTTCAAGAGTGTATCAAAGTTGAAACGTCCCTAAGTCAAGTCTTGGTTTCCTTTAGACTTACATAAAATAATTTTTAATTAGTGTTTTATGGAAGAAATGTTCATCAGAAATCCATGGAAAAAAGGAGAAAATTGTCTGCCAATCAAAACTGATTGAATTAGTACCTTTCAAATCAAAAAGAACATTTGGAGCATTGAATACTGTACCTCTGTACAGTACATTGAAATGTTGGCATTTTCTGTATAAATAACATTCAAGTCAAAAACAGAGAAGGAAGCCCCTCTATTCAGGAGAGAATTTTTTTAATTAGCTAAATGGATGGAAAATTCATGGGAGAGAAATTACAAATAATTTGTCGTACACTGGATATTAGGGCTGAATTTATCTGTTTTTTTGTAAGTTGGACTGATGAAAGTCACTTTTCCTGAAACTTACTTGCAATTTTAGCATGCAGTGTATGCATGTTGGGTCAGTGTCCACATGTCTGGCCTTTTTAATGCATTGTTCATTGGAAAATAAGTGCTCATATGGTGAATTGTCTGCATAGTGAGGTGTCCGCGTCGCTATAATTTGGGTGTATCTCTGCTTGGTGAAGCATCATTCAAGAATTTCATTTACATAATGTCAAATTTCTTCAGGATACAATGGAAGCAATTGATGAAAGCTTGATTGATTATAATAGCTGTCTATCTTTCAATTTCCGCCGCAGGTTTCCCCCAAGTCGAAGTGGTACATATTTCGTACATTCAGGATATAGATGACCTCTTCAATGTTTTCAAAATACTGTACTGGAGAGGCGACATACATGAATCATCCCTCATGTTCGACTAATTTGTCGAGAATATGAACTCATCTCTCAATTTCATTCAATTCTACATTCCCTATAAGTTTTAAAAAAATGTGGGCTTCTCAAAACGTGAGGAACCCTGACTTCAGTCTGAAAAGTCTTCATCAAATGCGAGAAGAAACGGACGACAGTATAATTGCAGCATCTTCAAGTCTCCAAAGGCATCAAATACGGCATATTCGCTTCCGACGCACCATGCGTCGTGAAAGAAACGCAATTTCGTTGGTCACAACGAATTTATTATTCCAAGTTCAATTGCATCAGAAACCATCAACACTTTTCGCTCAAAGCATCCCTAAATCAGTCCACCATCTTACCCAAAAAAAAGTACTAGTTGTAGCAAACGGGTCGAAGAAGGCTCGACAATCAACGGAGGGGGGTACAAGGCAATTCGAAAAATAAATAAATAATAATGCACCAAGAAAAAACCGCTCAGAGACAACAGCTGACTTTCCCCATCCGAAAAACTCCTTCCACGTTTTCCTAATCAAAGCTCAACCGGAACAAAAACGTCGGGATTGTTCTCTGTCATGCACAATCATTACTGTTTAAAACTTTCGTCCGCCGCTTCAATTTTTTTACACGAGTCTTTTTCCTAAGACTGTTTCATCATTGAAAAAAAAGGAGAAAATCCCTCTCAATACAAGACATTCAGGAAGCATTTCTTCTAGGTACTGATTATGTTACTTCCCTGCACTCTCGAAATCGGAGATTTTGCGGGGCATTTTATGGCAACGTCGCAACAAAAGTAGAGGAAGATCAACGAACTCTTCCTCTCGGGATAAGCCAAAAAACCTGCGGTCGCTTCAGGAATTCTCTGGAAAAGCTTTAATGCCGCGAGTGAAAAGAAAGCAAAAGGTAAAACCCGGAATGTAAAAAAAAAAATTTTCTCAGTGGCTGAATTTGAAAAGCAGTCGGTTCAAGCCAACGAAAAAAATATGTAACTACACAATATCACAATCCCATGAAATTCAAAACCAAAAAAAAAAAAAATCATAGGCGAGAAGAAACATTTCTCCTATCACAAACGAATAAAACAAAGAAGTATGTTCTGTGTCTCTCTTGTTAAAATCAAGCGGAGAAAACGTCCATTATGACTTCAGGGGGCTGATGGCGGCGGCGCTGGTTGTGACCAAGGCGTCGTTCAAGGCGGCCGTCTGCTCTTCGCCCAATTTGATCTTCTCGTCGATTTCTCGGGCTTGAATGATCAATTTGGCTTTCATCTTCACAAAGTGGTCATAGTCGGCGAGTTCGTCTTGGGTCAGGTGCTTGGCGAGGAAGTCTGACACTTTCCGGCTCCGGCTGTCAATCGTTTCCTTCAGCTGCTTCGCCTCGTCCAACTGCTCCACCAGTCTGTCGCGTTTTCCTTCCAACAGTTTCTGAAAAAAAAATGAAAAAATTCAGAAAATTAACCTCTAAAATATCAAATTTTTTACGAGAATACATCCCTAATACCAATTTAGACAGAGAAAAAAGAACGGAATGAGCAGCAACAAAAAACCAGCTTTGTGGGAAAAATAGCGGGACACGGAATAAAACGCGCCGATTTTCCTAGAATTAAGTTCCCTGCTAGTGAATAGAAACTAACCATACCTGCATTCATTTCGAAAGGAGACAGTTGTGTTTCATTTTATGATTGGAAAGTGCAGAACAAAGAAAAAATAACAGAATCTTATAAATTCCTAAATTCTCCTTTATTCCACACAGTTCAGTTGACTATATAAAATGATATTTTTGTTGTTCAAGAAACGTGCGGTATGCTTTATTACTGCAACGATAAACAAAACAAGGAATTTTCCTCCGGCAGAAATCACTTCTACGTATGACGTGCTCAAAGTTGTTCACGTCCTTGAGTTTTCTTAATTCGAAAAAAAAGAGGCGTCAGTCGTACATGTTCGAATTGCGAAATTCGAGATTTCATCGCCATCAAGGACACGAACATTTCTGAATAATTCAAAAGAAAATGAGAAATTCATCACTGACGAGGGAACTTGGAAAAAAAGCTGTTGTTGATTGCAATCCAGCGGTAATAATGATACTCTCATAGTAAGGAAAAAAAAGCTTTAGACGAACGGAATATTTCACGAATTTCTGAAGGGAAAAGTCCATCTGCATAACATGACGCAGAAAAAAAAATTTCAGCATCCATGAAAGTAATTAAAAATCCAAGGTCTGATTCATGTTGGCCGGCGAATGACGGGGAACCAGAAATGCAGATTTTCAGTCGTCCTTCCTTTATACATTCCTGTAGTATATGCATTTTGACAGTCAAACCCCTTCAAGACAACCTTCGATATTTGAAAAAAAAAAGTAATGTTCCCGAATGCTAGAAATCACTGACGAGGGAACTTTTGGAAAAAAGCTCACACACCCTCCGCCAAAATTATTGACAACTCGAATACTAAACTCTGGCCAACTGATTTTTTCCTCAATAGCACGCCAACAAGATTCAAGTTTCTGTGAGATGTCTCCAATCGAAAAACACGAAGACGAATTTACTTTTTAAGAACATTAGCTAGATATAAAGTAATTTACACAACACAGTGTCATTTTTATTTTTTTCTAGAAGAATAAGAATTTTATTTCCGATTATAATTGATTTTCGTATCACAGTATTTCAGCTTTTCTCATATAAACCACCAACCAGTTTAAACAGTCACAAAGTCACAAATAAATGGTAGTAACTTATCGAGGTTTGACTGTTTTTACCGTGAGACGCCGGCATGAGGACGATTCGACTTAGGGACACTTGAAAAAAAAAATCTACCTCAACATCACAATGGCTCAAGATAGGGAAAATTTGCAGAAAATTTTCCGTAAAAATGGAATTTTTTAAATCTCTTTGAAAAATGTAGCTTATTCATATTCACAAAAATTGAAGACAAATTTCTATGAATGCGATGATAAATTTACTCTAACTCATACAGAAAGGCTAATTTTGTGCTACTTTTTTCAGAGTTTTTTCTAACATCTGTGCACAGTATAACATGACTTCTTCTTGTTCTTTGATTTTTGAGCTACTTTTAATGCCAGAAGATCAAATTCCAAGTTTTTTTGGCATTGTTGTTTTCTGTACCTTGAAGGTGAGGAAAACAATTTTTATTTAACTTTTTGGGGGACTTACTCCTAATTTTTGACAAACATGAGAGAACCGATTAAATATATTTTGCTTTGAGGTCTAACATGATTCAGCATGCGGACGATTTCGACATGGGGACACGGTCCAAGCACCAATTACGTCCGCATCTTTATTTTTTTTCTTCATGATGCACTCACTCGGTCGTGTTCACTGGCGTCCTCGGGAAGGTTGGCGAGGGCATTCTCAGCCCTGGCCAGACGACCGCCTAGCCCAAGCAGCAAGGAGGTGATTTTGTCAATCTCCTGAACGTGGGTGCGGAATTTGTCGCGGTCCTTGCGCGTCATCGTCGCTATGGTCGAGTCGTCGTTGTCGGTGTTGGTAGATACCGCATCCAGCACGGCTTCCACCCGCTCAGTCACCGCCTTGCCCAGGGCCTCGTTCATGGCCGTCTCCTCTTCCACGCAGGCCCTTTCAGCCCGCAACACGCTCAACTTCTTCCCGATGCGCTCCAACAGCTCGTCCTGGCACGAGAAATGCAACGAAACAAATTAGAAAAAAATAAAATAAAGGGAAATTCCAATGATTTCGGATGCAGATGTTTCACTGCTAATTAAATGACAACGTCCTTCCTTCGAAGCGATGTTTTCGCGAAATCCAATTCTTGAGACGAATGCGTATGGACGCGAATTCCACTTGAAAAAGTGTGGATTGCAGTTTGATTGAGTTTCGATCGATTCTACACCATAGCCATCCCTAGCAACAACTGATTGCTTCATTCTTTTTCTGAGGGGACAGCTTTCCTAGGTAATAGCTTTGTTTTGGTCCACTTTAGGGTTAGATTAGGCTCGGTTGAGTTGGTAATACTCATTATACAACTGCAGGGGAATGTCAACTTTTGTCAAAATTCTTGATCCACGCAGAAGATTTGCCACAAGAAGACGGATGATGAATTAAGCAGGATTGTTGGAGTTTGATACAAAAGAACCCATTTACAGTATATTCAACTGGACGTATTCTTGCTGCTCAATACTAATGCATGATAAAGATATGTACTACAATACTGCACACAATCTTAATCGTTTCCAAATGATGCGTAACCTTGCTGAAGTTTTCTTGCTTCCAAATTTTTAGTTAGCTGCAGTGCTAAAAAAAAAAAAAATATTCCGGACACTTTTTCACGTTCGCTTCGAGATTATTCAAAGCTTGTCGAATGATGAAAAAAAAAAAACATTGGAAGTTGAGAGTTTCCATCACTGAGAAAATGGGTTCATCATTACATTTTCAAACAGTAGTAACCACGAGTCATTCGGGCAATATTTTATTTAGGAAATTTATGAAGTTGCGAAAGCCGCGATAATACGCAGGACCAGCATGGAGTTTAAAGCTTGCCGAATTAGTGTGACGACATTCGAAGTCCATTTTTCAAATTGGAAGGAAACACAAGCACAAACAAATTTATTATTCAATCGAAAAAATCGACGACCTTCGCAATCTAGCCGAGGACTTTCGTGAAAGAAATCCAATACAGCGAATTGCG